CGATCAATTTGCTCATTATTTTCCCCACAGTTGAGTTGTATGTGTCAATTTGTGTTGTTTCTTAATTTGTTGGACTTCTAGTACGTTCTATGTGTGATATGTATTGTTCATCATTCTTGAAGATGCATATAATGTACAATATATTGTGAATCTTTTTGACATTGTGATGGATTAATGTTGAGAATGGGATTTTGGTAGAGTCATATAAGGATCGTATTGGTAGGTGAAGCAACATGAATATTGCACCTTTGACACAAAAGAAATATGTTCTCAAAATCTGTCTGATCAAGTGGATGACAGAATCCCGACTATCTCCCTATCCACATATGCATCATCTGCACATTGAAACATGTCGATAGGATGCAAAGGTCATCATCCTAGAAAAAATCTAATGATCGTTTGCATTATGACAATCAAGTCAACTGTCGAAATGAGATAGAATGAGCTCAAGACACATGGGCGAGAGTATATTTGACTACTGTTTAGATGAACAAGCTTTTTTATTGTTAATGGACTCACTTATATAGAGAGAGAAGGAAATGGACCAAGACAGGTTAGTGGCCCGGGCCCAAGCCCAAAAAGAGGTTACTTGATTTCACCGACATAACCAATTGACATCATTGGTGCCTAGTCAGCCGATGTGGGACCCCCTCCATCACACGCATATAACGTAATTTACAAATATAACAAAATTAATCCTATCAAACACGCCAAGAACTTGTTGAATATATAAATCCTAAACTCCCACGAAATAAAAGTTGAAAAGATTGAAAAAACCGCCAATACCAAATAATCACGATAGCAATCAATTTAAATGGAGTAACTGACGCAATAAAAGCACGATCACATAAAGACAGCTGGCGTCAAATTTTGACTGAAAAACTTTAGGGTACTGTGAATGTTGGGGAATGGGGATAATACTGTCAAGAAATAAGTTTGTGTGATGGTGGAGTTAGGGTTTAAGGCCGCTTTTGCCACCCAAAGCCGCCTTAAACCCTAACTCCACCGTCACACAAACTTGTCAAGAGATATGGTGGCTGTGGCGTCAAGTTGTAGACCAATAAATGCAGAATTTTATGGAAAGGGCTAGATCCATTTCAGCTAAAGGGGAACAGAGTCTTAAGAGTAAGTCAAATGAACGTGAACAAGTTGATCCACTAGCTAATCAGCTTGATCTAAGTAGGGTGATTTTTCGAGTAGGTCCTATCCGCTTGACTTCTTTTGTCAGTATATCATCACTATGTCTCTAGACTTTTATAATCAGCAGTTTAGGTGTCAATTCTCGTCCTTGCATTTAAGAAGTCATTCACTTAATAACATTTAATCGACATCTAAATGACTGATCATCAACCGTGTAAATAACTTGCTTTTCAAAAGAAGAACTTTTATCTTTATTCAAGTTTAGCCTCACAAACTCAAAATTATAAACCATCACGAACATTGGAACATGGGCAACAAATACCTCAGCGGCCATTAAAGGGCTTTCACTACATTGGCAACATTAATGAGATATGGTGGCTGTGATATCGACTTGTAGAC